ATATATATATATATATATATATATATATATATATATATATATATATATATATATATATATATATAGAAAAGCAGAAAGAGGAGAAAGAAACAGAGCAAACGCTCAGCAACAGCCAACTCCGTTGTTCTTGGCCTCAAACCCTAAACCCTAAACCCTAAACCCCAAACCCTTAATCAAGCAACCCTAAACCCTAAACCCTAAACCCTCAAGTAAGTGGATACAAAGACGGTTTGCTGCTGAGAAGCAGCCTAAGCAGCAGCAACAGAGCAGCAGCAACAAAAGCAGCAGCAACAGCAGAACAAGCAGGAACAGCAACTGCAGCAGCAACAACAACAAGAGCAGCAGCAACAGCAGCAGCAGCAGCAACAGCAACAACAACAGCAGCAGCAACAGCAGCAGCAACAGCAGCAGCAACAGCAGGGACTAAGCGGAAGAAGCCTTGATACGGTCGAGCTGTATGTACACCGGGGGCTGCATGCAGCAGCTAACCAGCGCCAAGACAGCAGCTTTGTTGCTGCTGCTGGCGAGCCGCTGCAGAGCAACGAGAGAAAACGAAGGACCTAACGTTGTGCTGCAGCAGCAGCTGCTGCAGCTGCAACTGCTGCTGCTGCTGCTGCTGCTGCTGCCGTTAATAGTGCTGAAAGAGGGGGCGGAGAGCCGCCTCTTCTTGCTGCTGCAGCAGCAGCATTTTGCGCTGTTTACTGCGTTGCTGCTGCAGCAGCAGCAGCAGGAGCAACAGCAGCACCCAGAACAAAAGGAGCAGCTGCAGCTGTCCCTGCTCCTACTACTACTACTACTGCTGCTGCTGCTGCTGCTGCTGCTGCTGCTGCTGCTGCTGTGAATGGGGTGTACAGACACCAGGAGAGATGCATGCGCTTGCTTCGGGTCTGCAGCATAGACGAGATAATCAGCCCCAAAGGAGTTTCCGTCTCTTAACAAAAACCCTTTTCTATAGAGGTCTCTATGCACGATATCTCGTGCATGCTGGCGCCAACACCACCTGCTGCTGCTGCTGCTGCTGCTGCTGCTGCTGCAGCTGCAGCAGCTGCTGCTGCTGCTGTTGCTGCTGTTGCTGCTGCAGCTGCAGCAGCTGCTGCTGCTGCTGTTGCTGCTGTTGCTGCTGATGCTGCAGATGGAAGAGTGAGAAGGAGGGGTTAGG